GCAGGCTTACATGGACTCTTCCTATTTCCACACCTCTGTCACTCTAACAGTGTCTGGTATCTCCAAATTCAGTGCTTTTGTGGGTTCATTTTCTCCTGAGAAAAAGATCTCCAGTCTCTTGCTACAGGAAGATGGATGTTCTTGCTAAGATGAGGATATTTACCAGTTTTGTGTCTAGACTTTCAATTACACCCTCTTTTTAAAAAAGATTTTATTTATTTATTTGAGAGAAATTGAGAGTGCACAGAGGGAAAAGAAGAGGGAGAGGGACAAGCAGACTCCATGCTGAGCACGAAGCCCCATACAGGGCTCCATCTCAGACCCTGAGATCATGACCTGAGCCGAAATCAGGAGTCTGAGGCTCAACCGACTGAGCCACCCAGGCTCCCCCACACCCCTTTTTAAGCCTTGTGCCTTACTGGCACCTTCAGGTTTGAGCCTTCCCAGGGTTGTATGGAGCAGATAAGCCTTATATCTCATCAGGTCCCCCTTTATAGGCAATCTGGATGTAGTTTCCTTCATCTTGCTTCAGTTATCACTTCAGTCTGCTTTCCATCTTCTATGACTTTAGTTTTGCTCTTGTCTATCATTATCTTTGTTCTCCCTTTCATTTATTAATTCAACAAGTGCTATTGAGTACCTACAAGTGCCAGGCACTACTCTTCTTGGTGCTTAGGATGCAATAATGAAGGAAATATCCCTTCCCTTGTATAAACTTACATTTTAGTCAGGGAGATAGATTTTTAAAAAACATAATAAAGTAAATTATATGGTATGTTTGAAGGTGATAAGTGTCGCTATGGTATGAATGTTTGTGTCACCCCAAATATCATACGTTGAAATCCTAACACCCAAGGTGATAGTACTAGGAGGTGGGGCCTTTAGGAGGTGATTAGGTCATGAGGGCAGAGCCCTCATGATTGGGATTAGTGCCCTTATGAAAGAGACTCCAGAGAGCTAGCTTGTCCTTTCCTCCATGGGAAGTTACAATGAAAAGATGGTTGCCAGGGAGGAAACAGATTTTTGTTAATTTTTTAATTTTTTTAAATTTAAATTAATTAACATATAGTGTAATATTAGTTTCAGAGGTAGAGTTCAGTGATTCATCAGTCTTATATAATACCCAGTGCTCATTACATCAAGTGCCCTCCTTAACGTCTGTCACCCAGTTACCCCATTCCCCGACCCCCCTCCCCTCTAGCAGCCCTCAGTTTGTTTCCTATGATTAAGAGTCTCATGGTTTGTCTCCCTCTCTGGTTTCATCTTGTTTCATTTTTCCCTCCTTTTCCCTATGCTCCTCTGTTTTGTTTCTTAAATTCCATATATGAGTGAGATCATATGGTAATTGTCTTTCTCTGATTGACTTATTTCGCTTAGCATAATACCCTCTAGTTCCATCCACGTTGTTGCAAATGGCAAGATTTCATTCTTTTTGATGACTAATATTCCATTGTATATATATAACCACATCTTCTTTATCCATTCATTTGTTGATGGACATCTGGGCTCTTTCCATAGTTTGGCTATTGTGGACATTGTTGCTGTAAACATTGGGGTGCAGGTGCCCCATCTGATCACTACATTTGTATCTTTGGGGTAAATACCTAGTAGTGTAGTTGCTGGGTCATAGGGTAGCTCTATTTTCAACTTGTTTTTTAAGATTTTATTTATTTATTTGAGAGAGAGAGAGAATGAGCAGTGGGGAGGGGCAGAGGGAGAGAGAGAGAGAGAGAGAGAGAGAGAAGCAGACTCCCTGCTGAGCAGGGCATCCGATGTGGGGCTCGATCCCAGGACTTGGAGATCAAGACCTGAGCTGAAGGCACGTGCTTAACTGACTGCACCACCCAGGTGCCCCTATTTTCAACTTTTTGAGGAACCTCCATACTGTTTTCCAGAGTGGCTGCACCAGCTTACATTCCCACCAACAGTGTAAGAGGGTTCTCCTTTCTCCACATCCTTGTCAACATCTGTCCTTTATTGACTTGTTAATTTTAGCCATTCTGACTGGGGTGAGGTGGTATCTCATTGTGGTTTTGATTTGTATTTCTCTGATGCAGAGTGATGTTGAGCATTTTTTCATGTGTCTGTTGGC